GATTCCATCTTCCAAAAAATTAAGCGTGCTTTTTTACGTTGTGGAATTTGACATACCACACTGAGGTGTGATCTCAAGCTGATGGGTCAGCCTCATCTCCTCATCATCTTACCCTCTGTTCTCCCCCCTCCTCCCCCCTCCTCCTTCCCTCTTTAGTATCACAGCCAATCCATGTGTCCGCAAACCATCCTGATTCAGTGTCTCAGTGCAAACTGTTCCCTCTCTCGTGCATGATCTCTCCACGCCCTCACCAGCTTTTCTGGTTGAAGATTCATTTACCCTTCTCAGTTCCATCTAAAATTCTACTTCCTTTGAGAAAATTTTCCTGATTCCAGCTTTCCTTCCTGATCCTGTTCCCTTTTCTCTGAACCTCATCAGAAAGCACCTCTGCTTTGAAACTTACATGTCAAAATGGTTGAAAGCTGCTGCTCCGAGAAGCAGTAAATTCCAATTTGTGTCCTGAATTTACCTTATATAAATGGTGTGATATTGGACAGATGATTTAACCTCTCTAAGCGTCAGTTTACTTATCTGTAATGGAAATGATATGTTTACTTTGTGCATTTGATGTGAGTACATGTTATATAATACCCAAAAGATGATTAACATGCTGCCTCCCCCCAGATAGCGTACATTCATTGAGAACATACTGCAAGTACTACTACTATTACTTTGTATTATTTTTTGTCACCTGTCCTAATCTGCCTGCTGATTATGAACTCCTCAAGCATTAAACTTTGTTTTTTCCTTGCAGAGTTTCTTCATTGGAACTACTCGATTAATTGCATTAAGTGAATCCCACCACCTTTGACAACAAATTCTTTGTTAGATTTTTACTCAGTATAATCGTATCAACAAGACATTTCATAAGTTGTTAAAAGAGTAAATGCTAAGCGTTCTCATCACAAGAAAAATATTTTTTTCTATTTCTTTAATTTTGTATTTATATGAGATGATGGATGTTCAGTAAACTTACTGAGATAATCATTTCATTATTTATGTAAGTCAGATCACTATGCTGTGTACCTTAAACGTATACCGTGCTGTTGATTATATCTCAATAAAACTGGGGGAAAAAAACCCAAGTCATTTCACTGTCAAGTAGCCTTCGGCGTCATCAGCAAGCTCTTCTTGGAGGCCTCTCTCTGTGGTCCATCTCTCACATTGCTGTATATGACAGTCCTGGACATCAGTCCCCAAAGAACACCCGCCAGTAACTTCTCTCCACTCATTATTACCCACTGTGTTCTCTGTCAGCAGTCTAATTATGAAGAAAATCCTACAGTATTTACGGATTAAGAAGAAAAAAAAAAAACTCTTACTGAGGAAATCAAGTTGAGGAAAATTTGGAAAGTTTGAAATAGGTTATTGCCTTTTAACCCATAAGCTTCTTTGTTCCTTCACAAAGTTCTAATAATATTACTAACAGCTGATATTGAGTCCTTTGTATATGCCAGAGACTGTGTGTTTGATGTATTTATATAATATTCTCTATTTTTTTCTTTAAAACCAGCAACTCTATTAGGAATTTATCTTAATTCCCTCATTGTCCAAATGAGGAAACGTACTTGTGATCTTAATTTAAATGATTTACTTAGGCACCTGACTCAGAGCTACCCACTAGGATACACTTCTCTTTAATTTCATAAGTTAATCATTATTTCCTCCTAAAACAAAGTATCTCCTCTTCCCTGCCCTCAGCCCTGTCTCTTCTGTACCCTAAAGTAGTGGCCAGTCACTGGGTTGACTAATCTTAAAGATGCTGTGCATTTGCCTTGTGTGGAGAAATCAGACCTACAACCATCCGTCTGCAGCCCCTTCTCTCCCTCAAGCCTCATGTCTTTCTGCTGGAAGGAACCAAATGAAGCACTTTCCATCTAGTTCTTGCCATAGCCGTTCACAACAGGCTCATTTTAAACCACTGATTCTGTGCTTTCACCCATAGTTTTGTATTAAAGTCTTAAGTAGGTAGCAGCTGATTCTAGTGATTATTTGAATCAATTTTGTCAGTCGGAGCTTAGAACATGTAGCTTGCTTAATACTATTGGACATAATGCTTGGTGACTATCTGCTTTTGTTTTAGTACGTCTTAGAAGGTTGAATTAGCTATTTTGAGCTTAGTGAAATCTTCCGACTTTTCTTTTTGTAAGTGAAATACTTTTCCTTTGCCCTGCAATTCATTTTTTATCTGTTTTTCACAAGTAGCTGCCAATCCCTTTTTCTTTCCACTGCTAGAATAGCCTTCTCACCTCATTCTCTACATTTTCCATTCTCAGTCTGCCTCCAAAACATAAATGTGCATACCCTGCTCACCGGTCCTTGAACTCTACTGTGCTGTTTGCCTAAACAAATAACATTGATAGCATATTTTCACATCTTAGTGAAATCTCATTTTATGAGATGTGTATTCAAGTAATTGTGTCTAGCCCTCCTTGCTATGTTTATCTTCCATGAGGGTATATATACAGGGATTTCCACAGAACTCCATCAAGTATGTGAAACACTGAGTAGTGTTTTTCCCTTTTAAAATAAATTTTAAAAGATGGACTGGTCTATGAGTTTCCTTTTTCAAATGCTTTTCTTTCCATCTTGAAACAAATAATGGATAACAATTAATAAAGAGCATGGTAAAACATAGTCTGTGTAAAACTTGTAATGCTTGTCTGTAGATCTAATAGAGCTAATTCTCTAAGTATCTGCATTTAACAGTCAACAAAATTGAAAGTGTTTTATGCTGCTTTTTCTGGGATAGTAATATTTTTGTGATAGTAATTTAACATTTGTGAAATATCATTCTAGCCAAAAAATAGTGACTATCATGTATAAAGATAGCATAAAAGTTTATTCTGAAATACTGAAAAAGGGAATCTTATAAAGTTGAAATAAACCTTAATACTGCATCCTCCAACAAAGTTTTAGTGTTTTGAAATAAGATTGATTACTTTAACAAATTTTGTGATTTACTTTTAAGTAAATGTAAAAATACAAGTTTGATGATTACTAAAGTGTAGGTGTCAGTATGATACATAGAATTTATTATGTTTTATAGGAGAGGTTTTGAGTGGGATAAAGAAATACTTGCAAACTAGAAAAAAGAATCCATAAAGCCATTCTAAAATTTTTTAAGCTGAAATCTTGTTGTCTAGACTAAACACTTATAGTCCAAAAGCATCTATATAATACATATGAACGCTATCAGCATGTGGATATTTAATACATTTATTAGGAAAGATTTGTGTTATGCTCTAAGTGTAAAACTATAAAATTATGTTATAAAGGTAGAGATAATAAAGTTTCAGTGGTTAAAATTTTCGTCTCTGTTTTTAGAAGTCTTTACAATAGTATCATAACCCTAGAATGTGTATGCTTTGGGTTTAGTCTTCCTCAGATACCTACGAATGCACTATAAATCTGTTATATAAAAGTTATTTCTTTGCGGTCCATTGAAAGCTACACAACTTTCTCTTCCCATCAAATATTTTATATTCAAGACTTATAATGCATACCTATATTTAGGAGATCATATGCATATATTCATATAGTGCCTATGCTTACACAGAAAGTATAGAGAAGAATCTACTTTATCCCTTGATGTTAGCACTCTAAGATTTATTTTATTTCTTTTATTCCAGGCTTCTGATATAACCTGCTTGACTGAACAAAGTTTAAATACATCAGCAGTATCTGAGCAAAACTCATTTGAAATTTACTATCAGTTTTGAAATTCCATCCCTTTCCATAAATGTTGGAAACTAACATGCTCTTTTTTGCAGTTCTTAATGATAATAGGTTTGCAATGAAAACACATTAAAAATAAGCCTAATCCACTGATGAGAATATATTTAATATATTTATTTTAGATTGCTGATAATTTAGGGAGTACTTCATGCAGAGTGAATTCATTAGGCATTTTGCTTTCTTAATGCTGTTCTCAATTTCCCATTTTCAATTTGGAGAAGAAATGTATTTGTAGCAGCTGTAGCTCTTAATTTGACATCTAGTTTCAGGTCATTTTCATGTAAATAGGAAACAATAGAGACCTGCCTACAATTTCCATAATGGGGATGTTTGCTTCAACTTTATCATTTTTCCTCTGACAATTTTATTTTCTCTCTCTGAGATTAAAGGAGCCAATAATTGTTCATGGTTATTATTTTTCATCTTTATAAAAACTTGTTAGTTCCACTTTCCATTACTCCAAAGCTCCCAGTGCCTTGTATATTTCAGTCATACACACTATCCATTAATGTTTCTAGCTCATCCTTTCCTTAATCTGGAGTAGGTTAGACAGGTCAGGCTTTCCATTTCTTTCTGTAATACATTTTCTCCAGGCTTTTCAACTTCTTTTCCTACGTCTAAAAAAAAAAAAAGCTGAGAGGTGAAAATTTGGAATTGTTCCATTGAATACAACTGATGCCTTATTGAAAGGCAAGTTTTAGTTTTGATTTATAATGCTCCGAACATGCCCATATGTATTACCAACTTTGGCTTCACAGTTGTTTAAAATGTAATTATGTGCTTTTTCTAATAAAAATGTGTTTTATTTCAGTTTTCCTCTGTTCTGGAGGAAGAATCCTCCTTTATGTTTTAAGCATAGATATGCTTAATTCAATGTATTTTATCATCTATTCAGTAATTTTCAAGTGTGTCTCAATGGAGAGAAATTTCATTTTTGTGTACATCCTTTTTAAATATGTTGATTTATGCAGATTAAGTTAAGTAGGAAGTTATTTTTGTACGTAGTCATTTCCATTTTTTCCTCTTCTAGGAAAAAAATAAGAAATCAGATAGTCTTTTAAACATTTTATTTCCTGGATCTTCTGAACATACCAGCAAATCATGTACTCCTTTGATTTCATCTCTGCTGTTGAATTTACAGTAGTTGTTTTAATCCTAAGTTTTTTGTTGTTTTTCTTTTTAATATGCCACATCTGATTTTTTTTGTTTTTGTTTTTTTAGCAGGGACTCATTTGTGCTCTTATTTTTTTTTTCTGTCCCAGTAATATGACAAGAACAGTGGAGATTTCTGGGGAAGGAGGCCCCTTGGGAATACATGTAGTACCTTTCTTTTCATCTCTGAGTGGAAGGTAAGATGTTTTCCTTATACCAGAAGCTCATACTAATGAAAAACTTGACTTGAGCTCATTTTCCCAAACAATTTTTAGAAGAGGATTAAGTGTATGTCTCTGTTATTTAGATAGACACCTCAAGATATACTTCTGTTGGCCACTTATGTGTTAGAAACAAAATAACATCACTTCTAGGATACGATGGAAAAGAAATCATGGCTTCTGCATTTACAATTAATTAAGAAGTACTTTATTAAAGTATTCTTATCAGTGACACATAGACAGAAATCGTGGAAAGACTTTAACATATTGTTAGAGAAATATAGCAACTGAATTTTTTAATTTTCAAAAATACACTTAAATGAAATACAGTAATTCCAAATGGATATTTCTTGATATGCCTCAGGTTTACAGAACTTAGGATAATAAATATTATAATATTATAAGTAGTTATGTCAGAAGCTAAATATGTTTTGATTTTAGCTATAGTAGCAAAATGCCATTATTCTATTTATTTTGTTCTAAAATAAACTATAACCAATTAAAAATAATTTATCGCATCCTTTTGAAATTTTAAAGACATTATATTTCTAAATCCATGCTGGTAAATGGTAATTTAGATTGCATCACCATCTCTTGAAATTTGTGTCTACTTACCTGGCTGTAAAACTTGTTTTACTGATGGGAATTAAAGTGTGTGCCTGAGAGTTAATATTAGTACTATTATAACAACCTTACAAAACTAGTATTAGATATTACGTTATTATAATACTTTTCAATAGGATGACTACCTTTTGCACTAGATTGACACAGGCAAAGCCTGTCAGAAACTTAAAGAAAATGAATTTCTCACCCATATGATATGATTTTAATTAATTTGCTAAATTTATTTTCTTAAATTAAATATATCATTGAAAAGGCAAAATACCTGATTTTAGCTTAGGTGATCAAAGACCAGAAAAGTCCGTTGATTTTTCTCAAGGTCACACAAAATCCAGATATCTTGACTTGACCTCACTCCCTTGCTCTTTTTAGAACAAAACTTTCCCCAAAGCTTATATAGTATTTATTTACTGGTTCTGAATATTTATTCAATTTGGTCTGCCATACAGCGGGAAGAACAGATTTAGTCATGATATTTTGGTTGGCATCATTTTCAGTAGGTAGCCATCTGCTACCTGTAATTGCTAAGTCATCACCTTCTTTAGCAAATAACATCTGATGCCAAGCTCTTGCTGGAATGAATGTCCCCTGAAAAGAAATGAACTGAAAAGCTAGTGGCTCTTATTGTCTCATTTCCTGTATGTGTTAATAAGCATGTTTATAAATGTTATGGGTTATGGCACAGGACAAGCTGAGGTTGTTTTTGATAGACAGGGAGAGTATTTACCCACTTGTCACGAGGAATTCTAATGGCTTTTGTCAGAAGTGTACTGGTAGAGCTTTGTGAAATACCAGTGTGGCTAAATTACTAGGCCCTTTAGCTTAATGAAGCTGGAATAGACCACAAGATCATTCCAATTTTCAAAACATGAAGAAATATACAACATGACAGTCACCCTACATCATTTTCAATTGTTCAGAAAACAAGTTGACGCTATAGACCAAAAATCACCTTCTCTCACTTCAAATGAGGAAAACGCACTAGAATGCATTGATTTACCCCCTGATCCTTCCTAGTTCTGATTTCTAGCATAAGCTTTATAGAATAGGAAAAAGTATTGGACTCGGATTTGGAACAATTGGACTTGAATCTCACTGTTCTCTTTTGTATAACCTTGAGTGAGTCCCCTAAATTTGCCTCTTGTGAATACCTACCTCACATCAAGGTTGTAGGGATTAAACCACATTAAAAATGTGAATGCTCCTTGTGAAACACACAACATACAAATGTATTTTGGCTAAAACAGAAAAACTTTGTTTAGAAATGAACTTTTATAAGTTCATGGTCAACTGTTCAGTAAATTGGTGACATAGTTTGTGTGTGTGTGTGTGTGTGTGTGTGTGTGTGTACTTTTTGCTATCCACTGGTATTATAGAAAGGAAATTTAATTAAAAAACATAAAAAATAATATGGAAGTGGAGACATGAGCCAATAAAAGTTAAGAAGTAATGAGTACAGGCTGAAACAGCACACTTAACTCAACCCATGTGTCTAGAAGCAACTGCATACAGAGTGTGTCAGACAAGTGTCTGACTTTATCATGCCATATGGTTGCCCTGTGTGAGCACGGGGGATGGGGGGAGTTAAGGTCATAGTGGTAGACTTAGTTCTTCATTTCCTTCCATTTATTGGTTTGTGTCATTATTTTAAATTAGAATTTACATTTAATTATTTACTAAGACTACTGTAATTCGCTCTGCCTTCAATTTCTTTTTAATTTTTTTCTTTTACAAAAATAGAGCCACACCTGTTGTAGAATTAAGATCCCTAATCAAAGTTAGAACACCCCGAGTACAACACACTGGCTGCTGTACTAAATAAGGCCTCAGTGGTTTCATTGGGGTGCAGAATGCTGCTTGTATGGAGGACCATTGGCTTGCACAATAAAAACAAAAATGCAAGAAAAAACAAAACAAGAGTCCCTGAAAGTAAAAAGCAACTTAATTTCATTCATTTTTTTTTTCAAAAAAAAAATATATAGTTTTATTTTAGAATTAAAGCATAAAATCTAATTGTCAGTAAATAAAGATAGCATAATATACCTGTTTCATAGTAAAGACAGCTGAATATGAGGCAGAAGAAGGAAGGAATGGGTGAAGAGTGATATATAATGTGAGCAGAGGAGATGTTTAGGTAAAAATTCTAAGCGGATGAGCGGCCTAGGCAGTGTGATACAGTGGGAAGAAAGGAGGAGGCCAGCAGGGCATAGGTTTGTGCCTAAATGATCATTAGAAGGGCAAGAAGCAATTGTTACCCCTCTTACTCTGCGGGGCTGTGGGTTTCGGCCTCCTTTATCACTGCTTCTTAATGCAAAGTAACTGGTTCATTTCGGCCTATAACTCATTGACGGCATTAATTTTTAAATCCTGAGAGCCTTGGTCCCAAACGAGATAGCTATCCACAGCTCACCCATTTGGGGCAAAGAGAATAAAGAGGGACTCTTTTCTGAGCCTTCTCATACTGGTCTGGATGAAATCAAACTGTAAGGAATCCATCCCTTCCATAGAATAAAGAAGGCAGGAGTGGTTTGTTGCCAGGGAACAAACTAATAAAATCAGTTAGTTTTACATTTTACCAAAATTACCTCTGACACATGGGTTTTACAGTTGGGCTTATTCTGTCAATAAATTTTTCATGGAAAGTTAGGTTATTTAGTTGAGTGAGGTTCACATAGCATACTCCAGCTGTAATATGCCAGCTAAATTGCAACCCAGTGGCCTGAAAGAATTAATTCATCTCCCAAAATGTGAAATTAAATCCTAGGGAGTAACATTACATGACTGATGATGTACTGAATTAAATTAAAGGAAGACTTGAATGCTTGTTAAGAAAATATCGCTTACATAAACTAGTTTATAACCACATGTGAGCCTCCTAATGGGTCATGTTATTGTGAATCCACCATAACAAAAATCCAAAATGTGAACTATTAGAGAGTTGTTCAGTTTAGGAGAGAAACAGTATTTTATTCTATTTCTTTCCTTTTTTTTTTTTTTTTTGACATGTCAAATAGTTCAATTTTTAATATTATGTTATGAGATTAAGGTGGGATTAGTACTTTAAATATATTAATTTAAATCTCAGATCCTTTATCAAATAGTAGCTTTGGCCCTTATTCTCTTCCACCCAGAAGATGATTAATTTACTAACCTACTAGAACTAGGAAATGAAGCATCACTGCACACTTGGCCTGTGACCCTGAGCTTTCCCCACAATAGGTGGCATGACTATTTGCTCTGCTGTCCCCTGCGTCAGCGTACTGTGTTCATTTAACTTATTTAAAGTAGAGATCTAAATAGCCCTGCATGTGCCTCTCCTCCGGCTGTCTTGAGATGATGTGAGCTCATCAGATGAACTGAGGCCCTGGAGGCCGAGGTCCCACTTTGTGGCAGCTCCAAACGGGAAGATGGTTTTGTCTTCCACTTTCATTAGAGACTCCCCTTTTTAATGGCGGTCGCTATTATGCGCGCACAAAATGTGCTCATGTTTTATTTAGATTCGAGACTTAATGCAAAGGGACTACGTAATAGCACCTCAGGCCCCTAAATGAAAGAGGGTGACAAAGTAGGAAAACAAGAGGATGAGGGAAGAGGAGGTGGTGATTTCTCCACATCTAGCAGACTCCTCTTGGAGGATGTATCTGTCTGTTTTAACCTGAGACACCTGGGACCCTGACATGCCGCAAGGAACAGGGAAATCCCTCACGTGAGAAATGGCTAAAGTATACACAAGTTTGATTTCTTTTAGTTTTCAGTTCAAATACTACCAATATGTAATAGGTGCGTGCAAGTGCATACGCACACAGTTGAATTCTTTTTATTGCTGTAGCTTTCTTTCTCCTTTCCTTTTTCTCCAACCCCTTCCCCTCCTGACTCTAAGCCACAGCCCCGAAGCACCAGGAGGTTCAGGGGATGCTCTCTGAATCCAGACTCTTCCTGGTTGAAATTTCAGACAACTCTTCCCAAAGCCCTGATTTCATCCGGCCACCATCTCGCTCAGAAGCAGTGAGTGGCATGAGTATTACTCCAGCCTCATCACATCCGTCCATCAGCTGGTGTTCAAGGCCCCTTCACGTGGCACTGGCCTCCACATCCAGTGTGAGCTCCCACCCTGCTCCCCTTACACACACCTGCTCGTTCCTGCCTCTGTGTGTATTCTCTCTCTCCTCCTATCCAAATCCCACTCATTCTTCTGATCCACTTTACATCCCACTTTCTTCCCAAATCCTTCTATGAAAACTCTTAGGCTTACAGCTCCAGTTTTTTCATTTCTCCTGTACTCCAAGCCTGTGCTGAGCCACTGTCCTGGTCCTACAGCCCTGTCTCATATTCTTCCATCAGAAGTGCATAGAGAACACTCAACACACACTTGATTCAGTGGCACTAACAAATGGGACCGAACTTCCTTCTAAACTGAGTAATATGATCTCTGCTAAACATTTGCTTCTTCAAATGCATATTATTGGAAGAGGTGGGAAGACTGCAAAAAAGTTACTGTGAATACCTAATCCTCTCCCATTATCAGACATCAAGCTGCCCCCTGGGCACCAACTCAAACTTACTCATTACAGTCAGCCCTTCTGTGAAGCCCTCTCGAAACCACGAGTCCTCTGTGTCCTGAACTCTACTGAGCAACACGAGCCTTTTCTAAGTTACCTACAAGCATGAGAAACGGGATTGTAGGTCATTGTGCTCTGGGCTGGTGTTTACGTATATGTGTCTTGAAGGGCTTCTCTTTAGTGACTCATGTGTGCGAGTGTGTTGTTTTGTTTGTTTGTTTACTAAGGATTTAAATAACAGTTGCCTGAATATAAAGCATACTTCCTTTCATAAATAGAAACCAATATTTATTTCTGAACAGTTACAAATGGAGAAACAACTCGCAGGTTATTCAGTCATTCTCTTTCAACTGAAGTGTTGCATTTAGGATTCTAGGGCTCTTCATCCGTGGCATTGAAGAAAACAGCAGGTCCAAGCGGGAAGGACTGTTTCACGAAAATGAATGTATTGTAAAAATCAACAGCGTGGACCTCGTAGACAAAACCTTTGCTCAGTAAGCATTTTTTTCATTGTTTTATTTACTTTATTGATTCCTAGAATGCTTATGATCATTACTGAGCTCATTATGATCAAAAATGTAGGTAGAACTTCTGGTAAGTTCCCTTTGGCCCCAGAACATCTATTTTCAAATATGTCCTGTGTTTTAGCATACTCAGAGGTGGGCTGCAAATGTCCCTGACAGCCCTGAGAAGGGCAAACTGCAGAACAGAGCAAACCTTCTGCCTGGCTGTCTTTCTGGGGCATCGATAGATGGGTTTGTTTTTCTTGGGATACAGGTCAGTTAGACTGGTATTTAAGAACTCTTCACAGACTATTAGTTCGGCTTATTAATTAACTTACTTGGTGCCAGTAGTCTTCCTTAAACTAAATATCTGTGAGAGATGACTGTGAAGACTCCCTGAATAATAGAAACAAATGGAAAAAAAAGTTAAAATACTCTCCCTCAAGAAATTCTTTCTCTGCATGTGAAAATGTTACAGCAATAGGTCTTTGTACCTAAGAATTAAAGTATGCAGCGGTCTGCATATGCTTTTTTATATGTATATTGGCATTACAGTGGAACAAGGGAATAATCACGAATACTCTTTAGTAATGATCACCAACCTCTCGTTTCAACAAAACATAATATATCATAATATATCTTCTCTGTGACCATTAGTTGCCAGTATTGTGTTGGGTGGAGGGGCAGTGCTGTAGCTGCTTAAGCATGGAAGAAAATGAAGCCTTAAGAGTGTATTTCTAAAAATAATGAATAATAGGCAAAATTATAAGTATTATCAATAATGATATTATTTTTATATATCACTGTGCTTGTTACCAGGACTTAATAGGAATGCAAGGCAGACATTATTCTCCCTATATTATAGAGGTAGAAATCAAGGCTTATAAAAATTCAATGTGGAGTAGAAATTGACTCCTCGTCAAGGAGCTGACCAGAGGAGCTGGGCTACCTATGTGAAGTCTTCTCCCTCCTCCCCTAACATTGTAAGGTCTTCATGAATAAAGTGAGGGGGAGCTCAGACGGCAGTTGGAATTATGATTAATTATTATTTGGTGTGGCTGCTCATAACAGAGACCTGAAATAAAGGTAGCGTAAACGAAATTTACCTTTTCTAAGGACAAATAAGTGTGGAGATGGCAGTCCAGAGTTGGAATGGAGGGTCCACCATCATCAGTGAGTCAGGCATCCTCCATCTTTCTGCTTTGCCATCCTTCTTATGAGGATGCTAGCTTTAAGCTGTCTCGTGGTCACAAGATGGCTGCTGGAGTTCCCTCCATCACTTCTGAGTTTTAAGAAATAGGAAAGAGAAACAGTAGAACAAAAAAGTTTCTGTCTCCCAGATGAGCCAGATTTTCTCTAACCTTTCATCTCATTGGCAAGAAAGCTGGGGAAGAGAGTTGTTTTACCTAATCATAAGGTATAAGGAGACATAAGGAAGAAGGAAAGAAAAAGTAGTAGGAAACTTTGAGGAAAAGCACAAAGCGCTAAGACAAAAAAAGTAAAAACATTAGGGACTCTATAATAGAATAGCAGCGAGGGTGCATTTTGGATTGCCAGTCCACTGTGATATTTGACACAGCCAACGTACCTACCAAACGTCTCCATGAGGAAATGTTTGTGTCAGAATTGGGCTTCTGCAACACAACCCACATTAGGAAAGACCTGTACTTTAGATTAAAGTCTTAAAAGGAAACCAAATGATAATCTGACGGAGACTATGAAAGATGTTTGTTCCATTTAAAATTAGAGCTTGCTTTTATATTTACTTCAGTAAATACTTCTGGATAGAATTTCAGATTTAGAAATGCTTAGAAGCTGTGGGTCATTGGACAAGTTACTTAAGCTCTCTGAGCCTCCACTTCTTCATTTTGCAAAATGAGAGCTAATTATACTTACTTAACATGGTTGTTAAAAAGGTTAAATGAGAGAATCGTGCATGTCGATAATGCACATGTAGCCCAGTGTGGTGGCACCTAATGGGCAGGCCATACATGGTAACTAGCATTTAGTTAGCAAAGTCATATTGGTAGTAATAGTGATAGTATCTCCTGTGCTTATGTTCCTGTAGCCGTGAGGCTGGGCGCTTTGGATGGCATGCTAGGAAGTGGTATCATTCTATGTTCACTGTCTTTCAAGGGCTCAGGACGTCTTCCGTCAGGCAATGAAATCTCCAAGTGTGCTGCTTCATGTGCTTCCACCTCAAAACCGGGAAGAGTATGAAAAATCAGTCAGTGGACCTCTTAACATTTTTGGTAACAATGACGGCGTTTTGAGAACAAAGGTGCCACCTCCTGTCCATGGAAAATCAGGAATAAAGACAGTAAATCTCACAGGAACAAGCAGTCCTGAAGAAGATGCATCAACTTCCCTGCAGCAAAGCAAGAGCCCCCGAGTACCAAGACTAGGTAGAAAGCCATCCTCTCCCTCACTCTCCCCGCTCATGGGGTTTGGCAGCAAGAAAAATGCAAAGAAAATTAAGATTGACCTAAAGAAAGGTAATTATTAAATTATGCTTAATAGCATTCTATTATTGTAACATGTAAAATTGGTTAAGAGAAATGCATTAAGGCTAATTTTGTTAATTCTCCCTTCATTTAATTGAATCAAAGAATAGATTTAAGTGTATACTGCAGTAACTTAAATTTCTTAAACTCATAGTACTTTCTTATTCTTTTTTCTGGAGAGTGTAAATTATCTGAAGCAAGAAAATTATAAAGACCTGCTGTGAAATAGAAAGAACCATTACAAACTTGGTAGGAACAGAGTTTTATTGTATCACAACTTAATACTAAATAGGCACTGAAATTCAGTTGTCTGTTTTAAGCAAGATTAGTGATTTTTGAAGCATCCTTTAGTCCAAGTCCGAAAAGCCAATATATTGTTTCTGGTTGTCTAAGATAGTTTTATACCAGCAAAAAATTATTCCTCAGCAAATATGTAGTAATTATTAATTTCACTAATTCAACAATGCAAATAATTTTTCAAGTATTCTTAATTTCAAAAGCATGTATAACCTTTTTTCTTCATCTTTTTCAACTTTTTCATCCATTTGCAGCCCAGATCAATAAGACTAGATCATGTGTGTTCATAGATATTTATGCAATATTATACATACACACATACACATTCATGAATTTCTGCGCTTTTTTTTATTTTTTAACTTCTCCTGATAATCCCTTCCCCCACTGCAACCCTCTGCAACCCACTGTGATTTTCAAGACTCCATTCAAAAGAAACCAAGATTTTATGGATTCTTGTCTGAATTAATAGGAAATGTAATGATCACAAGGTAGTTTTAGAATACTTATTCACATATATCTAAAGCAAATTACATGTACCTTTAATTGGGATATAGAGATTATTCTGAAAAACCCTCTGGTCAAAATTTTGTCCTCCTATAAGAATTCTATACTGGGAAGAAAATGTATCAATAGGAGGCACAATTAGGCTTTTTATGTAAATGTATCACTTGTGCTTTTCATACAAATTGTGCAGCTATGTCTAAGACATGGGGTTGAGTGCTTTGAGAATAGATAAATCAGACACAGAACGTGACCTTAAAAATCCATCAGAAAGCCTTGAATGCAAAAATAAAGAATATTACATCCCACAGCTGTGTTTTGGGAAGATTAATCTGACAGAAAAAGATATTCTGAAGAAGAGAGCATACAGCAAGGATCAGTCAAGGGTGTATGTTGTCTGTCTGAATATAATATGTATGCCTAAATTGCTGACTGGATGTAGGCAGGAAGAGAGAGGAATTACTGTTATTGCTGAGGTTTTCAGCCAGGGTGGCTTGCACAATGGAGATACCATTACAAGAAATTAGAATTTTAAGTAGAAAAGGCAAGGATCTGGGTTGGAGAAGGAAGTTCATAGTGAAGTTTAAAATGCTTGTGAAAGAACGCGCATGGTAATATCCTGGAGACTGACACCAGAGAGATAAGAGACAAACAAAGTGATGTAAGTGTCATCTGTAGGGAGATGGTAGTTGGAGCCAGGAGCATGCCAGGCAAGTCTAGAGGACAAATTGTTCCAGATCCTTGGGGAACATCTATGTTTATGTGGGAGAACGATGGGTAAGAGAAAGAGACAGACATGTTGTGATCAGAGAGGCAGGAAAATAATCAGAAACTAAAAACATGAATACCAAGGGGGGAGTTAATTTCAAGAAAATGGTTGGTGAGAAGTGTCAAACCTAGAAAAGGGGAAAGATCAGAATAGGAAAAATGACTGGATATGGTCATGGGTAGGTAGTTGGTGATGGAAGACTGAAGAAGCAGTAGGATTGATGTAAGGATTCTTTAGGGTAGAGAAATCTAAGCATGTCTTCACATAGAGTGAAAAAAGACATAAACTCAAAGAGAGAAACTGGAGATGCAAGAGAACGGGACGGGGTAACAGGAACGAGTGATGGGACAGTGGGATGCAGTACACAAGGAATGGAGACTCAGCAGGAGGGGGAACCACAGGCTGGCTAGTTGATTGAAAGCCTGACATGTCAGATGGCCTCTTGCTTCTCAGGAAAGTATGAAGTCAGGTCATGGTTTACTGAGAAATCAATCTCCCAGGTATATGGATAACATGTGGTGTTTCTTCTAGGACCTTAGTAAACAAAAGTGTTATATATCTACACTGGCCCTAAATTCACTGTGATACAGTCATGGCCTGTAAGGAGCTGTAATCTGTATTTAAAACCAGAAAAACTGAAGCATATTTAAAATATTGACTGGAATGTCAATATTTCACTTATTCTGCATTAGTCTAATTACGCCTGCTGAAGGTGACCATGCGTTTTCCTGGTCTTATATACTAGGACCTGAAGGACTTGGTTTCACTGTGGTTACCAGAGATTCTTCCATACATGGTCCTGGTCCCATTTTTGTAAAAAACATTTTACCAAAGGGAGCAGCAATAAAAGATGGCCGCCTACAATCAGGGGACAGAATTTTGGAGGTAAGAATTAGAATGAATATCTTCAATAAAATCTTCCTTGGTGTTTGAAATAAGTATGTAAAATGTATTAAATTTTGAATTCAGTATGTTGAAAACTGTACTTATAGACAAGAAAAGGACTTTAATTAGAAAACTGGTTAACAAATAGCCTACCTTGTAAGTCCTCAGTAAGGACAATGATATGGGGCCAAATAATATTGAAAAGCTTTCCCTATCTCCTCTTTCTTACTTCCGCCTCTTAGAGTCCCTGGGGAATTTGGATCAAATCCACGAGTTCATCATATATTCAATTAGGGCTAAGGATTTCAAAGTTGCACCCAAGCCCTTGTAACAGTTTCCTTGAACTTCTCCAAGAGTGGGTCTGCCTGTCTCAGGTTGGTCTATGCATATAGAGAAGTATTTGGAATACCCAAAGCAAGAGGCTTTTTTTTTTTTTGTCATTTATTTTTGTTTGATAGCATCATCTTTTTGGCTAAATATATACTGTCAATTTACCTTTCAAGAAATCATATTCGTTGAAACTGGCTGGTTCCATTGAACTTTCTCATGGCATGAAAGTAGCACTATAGCTTTTTTTTTTTTTTTTTTTTTTTTTTTTTTTTTTTTTTAAAGAAAAAGAAAAATATATCTTAGTTTTTGGCGGTACGCGGGCCTCTCACTGCCGTGGCCTCTCCCGTTGCGCAGCACAGGCTCCGGACGCACACAGGCTCAGCGGCCATGGCTCACGGGCCTAGCCGCTCCGCGGCATGTGGGATCTTCCCGGACCGGGGCACGAACCCCTGTCCCCTGCATTGGCAGGCAGACTCTCAACCACTACACCACCAGGGAAGCCCACTATAGCTTTTTATATAGTTCTAGATCATGATAGAAAATGGGCCAAATGACTAATGTAGCTCCAAATTGCAATCTCCAATAATCTATGGTAAGCTGATGACTATAATTTTCTAAACATGGAAAATTCTAGAATTATAACAAAAAAACTTATGCCTCAAGAATTTACTGTGTGATAACGGTCCATTTCTCCTATTGGTATTCGGCAGAGAATGGTAACAGCTAAGCATTTGAAATCAGCTTCCTTCCTACTTGAGGAATCATTCTCTGGTATCTGTCAGTTTGATTTGTCCTTGCTAAGAATGTGATGTCTTAGGAAAAACTGCTGATGCCAATTACTGAATGTCTGAGACTGTCCAGCACCACAATAATGATGGTTGGTATATTGCTAGTATCATAAACATAGTTGGTTTGGGCTCATGTATTCAGTTTTCATCTTTCCAGAGCTTCATTGATCATGGGAGCCCATTTGCTGCTTGCTTTCAAAAACCATCTAGGGCAGAAGGGGATGGCAAGTGTTTTAATTGTGGCTGCTCATATGGTTGCCTGCATTAGGTAAATGGCAGAGATGTCACTGGACGAACTCAGGAAGAGCTCGTGGCCATGCTGAGGAGCACCAAGCAGGGAGAGACTGCATCACTGGTCATCGCCCGCCAGGAAGGAACTTTTCTGCCCCGAGAGCTGGTAATGTTCAGATCACAGTCTTACTGAATTTTCAGTACAGAACATAATACACTCAGTGAATTCATAATAGCTGAGAAATGAGTTCTAAGTCATGGGCTTCATTTGTAAAAAAAAAAAAAAAAAAGTGAATCACACTGACAGTGTTTTGCCCCCATTTGGGGTATCACTGTTTTAGTGATGGTGATGTGATGATGCAGTGAGGTAGGTAACTGCAAACAGTGCTTCAAGTGTACGAATTCAAACACCCTTCAAGGAGGCAATTTAACAGTATTTGATAAAATAAAATGCACATTGAGTATGTGCTATGGGCTAGGCCCCGTGCAAAACAACCAGCAGAAATGTTCATGGCCCTACCTTAGTGCAGTTAGCAGTCAAAGGGAAATTAAAATATAACCAAGTATTTAAAATGGTGATGAAGATTATGGAAGCAAACTGCAGAGTGCTACAGTAATATATAACAAGGGAATTTAACCTAGTATTGAAGGCTGGGAAAGGCATCTCAAGAAAGAGAATTTCAAGTCTTATTAAAAATGTGTACCCTTAAAAAAAAAAAAATGTACCCTTTGGCTTAGTAACTATACTTTTAGCAATTTGTCCTAAACTGATCATCAAAGATGTGGAAAAAATTCTTCTATATTGATTTTTTTTCTCCAGTCCTATTTATTATAGTGATATATTGGGCATGGTACAACAAGAAGGTACTGGTTAAATAAATAACTGGATCACTTTCCAATGAAATATAGTAAGTACTTAAATGGTCTCTGTGAGGAATTAGTAATAATATGAGAAATGTTCATAGGATATTATTAAGTAAAAAGTTGGGTATAAAATGACATGTGCAGTATGACAAATTACGTTAAAAATCTTTTTTAAAAAGCTGGAAGGAGATGCACTCAGATTGTTGGGATTATGAGAGATTTTTATTTTCTCTCTCTTTTTTTTTTTTTTACAGTGAACACATATTTATTATTGAAATATTTAAGGAGGCTTTAGAAACTTCAAAGGACTTTTATGGCTAATAATAAAGTAGAATAGATGTGGTCAAAGGACTTCTAATTACCCTTTGTTTTTTATTTCCTTTGAATCTATATAAGAAATGACAAAGGCACATATGGGTAATATGATAGGTTCCCCCGAGTTAGATCATCAGAATAGTGAGTGTTGAGAAAATTGAGTATAGTTAACTTGAAAAAAAAAGCTCGGTACTGATAATTGCTATCCCATATATAAAGAGTTATTGTATGGATTGGAAAGTAAATTTTAGTCTGTCTCTTCAGATAGTTTATATCCATTAATTTACTTATGCATTAATCCACCAAACAAGTTACTGAGCATGCGCTGGGGATACAAAAATAATTAAGACTAATTTCCTGTCCTATGTGAGCCTGTTCCAAAACAAATAGTTGGAAGTGATAATGTTACAAGCACTTTCTAACTGTTGGAGCTGTCCAAGAAGGAAACAGGTTATTTAGCATACTGAAACAGAACCTGCCTCACCATCTGTCAAAGATGCTCCAGAAACAATTCTCCTGTTGGTAAGGTGATCAGACTAGACAACCTCTAAGATACCTACTCTGGGTCTAATATTCTGTTACATGTGTTTATATCCATATTTGAATATACAGCCTTCCTGAACCTCCTCTCTTATATATTAACCCTCCTTAGTACTGGCCAAAGGAACCCCTTCCTTCCATGTTTCCGTACCATGGAGTTTCCTTTTGATCCTTCGTTATCTTTCCCATCATCTTATCCATTTTTCCTCTTGTCCTCTTATATGCTTTGAGAAGATCCATGGTAAAATAGGGAAGGGGAGATGCACTCCCCACCTCCTTTCCGCTACTGGACTCCTCCACACTCAGCGCTTTGGAAGGCAGAATCTTGAGTTACGGCCTCATCTCCTCACTGAAGCTCCCGACTCTTCCTAAAGAGAAATGCTGTCAGAACTCGAAGTCTAGGTTTTTTTTCTCTAAATTCAGATGGATTCTTTCCCTCAATCTTTTATTTATCCAAAGACGTTGGCCTTTCTCTACAAGGGTCAAAGTGAAAAGAAACAACACAAAAGGGGGCAGCATGGATATATAGCAGGAAGCCCTTACACTTCTTATTTAATTCGTTGGTTGCTGGTGATAAAAGTGGTTGGAAAACCTCAGTAGGACTAGGTACTTGTTTCAGGGATGGGAGAACTAGGAAAGAAGTTTTGATTGTGTATTCTTTTGAACTGTGGACCTGGGAGGAGTAAAATCCTGCATATAGAGAGAAATATTCCAGGCAGCCCCTAGGCATGCGGAGGAACCCAATAGCAGAGCTCCAGCCAGGAACTCAAACACTCACGAGTCCCTCGTTCCCCATCTAACAGTTAGTTATACCCCTTTTCCATATGTCCTCTAGAATTCCCAACTGCACAGCTAATTCCTTCTTCCTATAAGCTCTCCCAGCCCCCCTTACCCCCACCAACTCCCACCCCTGCCCCCAGTAAGGGGGAAAGGGCTGCTGATCTTATTCAAGTTTGAAACTCTGAAAGCATTTTTAGTCAAAGACAATTACACCTAGAAGTTAGCAAATGGAATAATAGAATTTTTGGACTAAAGGGAGCTGAAAGAATCTGTGAGTCCAGCTCTACTTTTGTAGCTGAGAAAACAGAGGCTCAGGGTGGTTGAGTAACCATGGGCCATGTGTCTATGGGCCCACAGTAAGCAGGAACTAGATGCCTAGGTTTCTTAGCATTTACTATTGTCTCTGAAGCTCAACTTCTGTCCTTACTACCTACTGTGTGATCCAGAGCCGATCACAAAATCATTCTGAGGCTCAGTCCTCATCTGTATCATTAGATTTCTGTGACAATTAAAAGCGATAATGCATGCAAAGCTCTAAGTGTTGCTTCTGGTCAACTGTAAGTACTAAATATGTCAGCTATACTTGTTTCTTCTAGTACATTACCACTTCTGTAGTATTGTAAACACCATACTGTATAGATATTATGGGGTAAATAGATTTATGCAGGCTTACCTGGGATTAACCACTATTTTGAACATTGATTGTTTTCTTTTTCATTATTTTAATATGTATTCTGGTATCCAAAATACAGAATTACAGACAAAATTTGTGTAACCCACCAAATTTACAAGCCAGGCAGGCTGTATATATTATTTCACTCTCATTTAATATAATTTAGTGAAATTGGATTTCTATCCCAGAAAGTGATACCATAGGCCAAGCCCACCAGGGAGCATATTAAATTAATTGTGCGACTATGAGATTATAAGTGAAAATAAATTCTTTGTTCTCATTTTCTGTGCTATACAAAATTTGGAGGGCATGTGGTTAGTATCCATTCTCTTAGAATTCTCTGGCAAATAGTCTCTTTAAAAAATATTTGACTTCTTACTATCCAAATATGTGGAATATTCTTTGTAACCACAGCAAAGCAAGGGCCTTTGAGGCTAACAAGCACTGAAGTAATGTGGACCCAGAATCTTTGTTTTGGAGAAATGTGGAATAATATTATTTTTCCAGCCCAAATACCTGTCTTGAATGCTAAATAGCAGGAACTCTGCAGGAAGTTTATAAAGAGGTCATATTTGGCATTCATGGGGCTATTTCAGTGGGAAACACTCAGAGTGTGGCACTGGACTATTTGAAAGCACAGAATAAAGAAGAGTGTGCGACGTGATACATCTTTGTATTTTTCCTTCAAAAAATTGAAGGTGGTATCATTTTGGTCTCTTCTCCCTTATTGAGGTTGATGCACACACTTGACTTGCCATTGAAAATCTGGCAGGATGAAGGAAGGACAGCACTTCCTGCTTTTGTCTTGTTCTATCTCCTTTGAAGAAAACAAACTGTTTATTGCTTTCCTGTTCTGAGAAACTGTCCTCTCCCTTTTGTTAAGCTGTGCTATTTCATGAGCTCTGTACCCTCTTAACAGCACTGCTCTGCCTATTTTCTGACAGTTAAATCTTCCTTACTTCCTTGTTATCATTAGCTTCCTGTGAAGTCTTTACGCTCACAGCCAAGGGAGCATGTGGTCAGCAGTTCCACAGGAAGGCCCAATATAGGATGGTCTCTCAAATGTGACCCTCTGTCATTCCAAAGGCCTCAGCATCCATTTCCTGGTCATTTCTCCTGACTTGCCACATCAGAGAACTGTGCTGAATGCTTGTATTTGCTGGTCCATGTCTTCCTTCCTGAGTAGTTGGTTAGTATCACAAGTATAGCAGCACGTTTAGCCAACTTTCTTTCCATCTGTGGCAGTCTGGGTTGAAAATCCAATGAAAGGAATTTATATAATAACATCATTTAATAACATCATTACTATTTAGCTCTTTCTAGTATTTTTACCAAAAGAACTGTGCTTCAAAGGTAATCTTTTCAGAATCCCAGTCCAGAAGACCCTTTGATGTTCTCATCCCCTTACTGGGTGAGAGTTTATTAAAGAGGTGTTCACGTAAGGAACATTTTGGCAAAAGGGACTTTGAGATTAGTGCTGGTAATAGAATCAGAAGGTGAAACTGCTGTGTCTGCGCCTGCACTTGAAACAAAAACTATGCTACTTATTCGGTGGTTTGTTTGGTCTGTTCTGTGAGAGACATGGTCTGCAAGTTCTTTTCCATCCCTGATACCTAAAATTCTTTTTGTCTTGTGCAAAGTGTCAGATAAAGCTTTCTTTCCATTCAGAAAAGATTCTGAAAAACTAAAGGTTTTCTATGTATTCCATGCCTGCATTTTTAAGGACTTCAGAGAAAGCAGCACTTTATTATTTGCCACGTATGTGCACGTGCACGTACATGTATGTGGCTGTCCTCTTTTGTTTACGGGGGAAAAAGACGTATTCTGCCATTTCATTGTTAAACTGTTTAACGTTTCATGTTCTGACCTGCTGCCTTATCCTTAAATTATCCTGAAAATCACAGCAACCCCTGGTGGGTAAAACAAGCTGAGAAAATTTCAAATGTATTTATAATTTCTACCTGCCAGGTTTGCCTGCTATTAAGCACTGGCCT